GCGATCCGTCGCAGAAGCCGAGTCAACAGGTACAGTGGAGGAAAGGCATAAAATCAGACCGTAAGGCTTCCAGGGAGCCACTATGGCATCCAGAGCCGGGCTACGATCTCTCTACCTTCCAGTTGCGTCGAGACGCCAGAAGGTCCACATCCGGCGACCCCCAGTGAAGACAAAGCTGATGAAAAATGTCTGGGTGTAGGGACCATACTCCCGTGTTCACCGACAGGCGACTGAGGCAGCCGACCTGCCAATTGTATAGGAAGTATCCGCTGGCGGAAGCCTGTAGCCCCATTAATAGCCAGCCTGCAGTCGGCTGGCACCAGGAACCGAACTTACACCCTGGAAAAACAACGGAAGGACGTGGTGCAGCCAAGACACCGGACGCGTCGCCCCACCAGCGGAACCATCTGTGACTGGCAGGTCGAGACCCCCAGTCATGTGCACCCCACCGGGCCAAGAGACCCACAGGCGTCGAAAAGAACCATCGTCGCAGCGGACCCACCGTGGCGGGACTGCATGCGCTAGTTGGTCGCACAGGGGAGACTCCAAGGATTTACATTCATCCAGCATGTCGCCCTGGCGACACTTGCTTGAAGAAAACAGCAAACAGAAGGAGGAAAATGAAAAAAAAAATTCCAGAGAATTTTTTTTAGCTCCTTACTCCTGACGCGAGGCAAAAAACTGGAGACTTGTCAGCAAGTGGGGGGTTTGGCCACCAGCAGGGGCCGCCCCTAGGCTGTCTTTGTCTCTTGTTATGTGCCTAGCATCCTTCTCCTGCAGGTGGCGATATACCCTACCATTCAGGATCTACGATCTGTTGCCCTGTGTCCTTCAATGAACGGGAGAGAAATATATATTTATATTATATATATTTATAAACACTCCCATTATTATCGCTACACTACCTAAACCAAATCACCAAGAGGCTGCATGGAGACGCCCAACAGTGATCTGGGCCGGGACAATACAAATTAGGCTCTTACCACAGAGTTCAACAGGAAACCATTAATGAAACTTGCTTATTTCAATAATCATGCCAACCATAATTCCATCAATTCTAAAATATAACGTACGGTGTAGCAACATAAAGTCCTCCTCCTATCAAAACACGAAGGCCGATTTATGAAAACACCAAAGAAATTATTATTTTCCCTAATTACATTCTTAATGAGCTCATTAGAAACATTGGAATTTAAATGATCTAATAGCTCTGCTTATGTCTTCCTAGCGAAGGCGAAAAAATTATAACTTGCCAATGAAAGGGGGGAAAAAGTGTTTTTAATGTCAGGAGCAATTTTAATCAAACCTCTCATTGTGTTTTAAATTTGAAAATCCTTACAAACTAATCCCATGATGAGCTAGTCAGTAAATCTGAGTCCTCCGGTGGCAAGACAAGTCTTTATTAACTGGGTCTGTTAAGGGAAAGCTGGATAGCTGCAGAGCAAGTGCTAATAACCTCATTGGCCACAGGGGACGAGGGAGCCAGTGTGGTGCTGAATGCTAACAAAGGATGCAGAAAATTATCTATCGCGATTTGGAGCTAATGCACTGAAAAATAGAAAACCCAGCAAAGCTAGTGATAGCACTCCAGTGACCCATTCTGCAGTCTCAATGTTACCCGCACTATAGTCTTTTTCCATGTAAAGCCTATTACTGAACCACATATGGAAAGTCAAAACAGTTAAAATCAACCTTGCATGAGAAAACTGTCTTCTAAAACTATAGTCTACACTGCTCACTCAACTTTGTAATTATGATTTTTTTTTTTTTAAATGTCTGTTACATTCATTGAGCAATATGTTTGGCTCCTCCCACCACATGCTCCCGTTTAATTGTAACATTCAGAGAATGCCTGTTAAAACACCTAAGTTCTAGCAGAGCTCCTGATCTACATCAATCCCATCCCTTCCCAGTCAGGTATGTATGCATGTCTTATCTGTCTCCCTGGACATTCAAATATGGCAGCTACATAATACACTTTACACTGGCCAAACAATGTACAGTATAAATCAAAAATGTAAACAATGTTCATAAGTGATTTTTCCAAATAAGATCATAATGTAAGATCCTGTTTTAAATTAAACTTAATTCTGGTCAGTTTCTGGTGAACAGAATTACTAATTGTTGAACTCAAGTGGAGATATCCCAACAGAGAAGTTCAGCCTAATGTAACCATTTCTAATTGTAGTTCCCACCCACTGTGATGGTTTTATCATTTAATTCCCAATAGCCAAAAGAAAATAAAGACGGGACAAAGAGAATCTGATGGGTGGGGAAACTTTGCAGGGTCCCAAAGAGATAAAATAAGGTATTGGGTGATTCTGATTCTACTCACTAGCACATAATTAATATTCAGACCATCTCAGCACTAGCTTAAAGCAAGTGTTTTAAATTTTATTGGGTGGCATATTTGTTTGGATCACCTTTATGCAAAAAAAAAAAAATCAAAGCCTTGCAAGCCAGCATTTCACTACGCAGGGCCTTGGCAGAAAAAGATAAAACGTTGCATGGCATCCAATTCATGTCAGTGATCTCCAACCTATTAGAATGTTTTCCATGATATGACGTACAGAAGTGCTCCTACCACAACATACTTGGCACATTTAGGAAGGACTCCAGTTTATATATGTGTACGATTACCTCATATTAGGAGAAAAAAAAAAGAGTTACAAGTAGAATACACTTGTTGATGTAAAATAGATTTTCTTTAGATGGTCAGGTTTTTTCTTGCATATACCTCAAGTTGACAATTTTCATTGCTGGATAAAAAAAGATATCTATCAACTCTGTGCTGACAGACAATTTATGAGACTCGCTGCAGTTTACCAGTGCATGTAATCGAGAACAACTCTGCATTCACTGAATATCAACGATGAGAAAGTTCTACCTTCCAGGGGAATCGAGGTAAAGAAAGTCATACACAAAGTCATTTCTGGATAATAACCAAAAGAATATATACTGTCTAGGTGATGTTACAGGTAATTCTTATAACTAAGCGGTTCGCCAATATTTTATTTAAAATACATGAAAATCTGATTACTAATCACCCAATTACATATACGATATAACATATTAATGTAATTTACATTTATTCTCAATGCCCTTCATTATAATAACTAGTATAAGTGTCATGACGTTCCTTGCTCAGACACTTCCTGTGACAATTCTCTCTCCCTGATTCCCAATAGAGCACCTGCATTGCCACCCTTTCTAATGGAGATTACAAATGGCCATTCCAGCACACATAATGCAGACATCGTCCACTGTTGTCACCATCAGAAAGTTCTGTTAATGTTTAATCCCTCGGGTGCTCTCCTACAAACTTGCCCTTCTTTTTTCCCCTCCTTTACTGTATTTCTTCTATGAGCTAAAAATCTCCCCTCCTTCGCATGTAAACTCCCAGTTATCCGGCACCTGTGGGGATTGGTAGACGCCGGATAATTGTAGTTTTTGGTTGCTTGAGAGTTACTATTAACTCTCAAGGAACAACCCCCGCCCCATTCATCTGCTGGCTAGATTTTACTATTGGCTATTTCAAATTGCAATACCCAACTGGCTATTGCACATGCCCACTGCCTGTTGTTTACATTCACCTGCCGGCTGAAGAATCTAGCTGTCAGCCGCAGCAAGATGTAAACAGAGAATTTACTTGCTCACATGGCTAACACAAATGTTTAGTGCACACATGTCTATCAAGCAACTGGCAAAAAAAATTAAGGACATATTATAATCAAAAAAGATTCATAATGGTATTATTGGGTACGTTTATATAAAATGTTTGTGAGCGGGTTTAGGTGTGTTTTATGCCTTAACAACTGACACAGAAACTGCAGAAGAAATATCTATTAGCGTTAATGGGTCTTAAATAGTTTGGATTACCAAAAATTAAAAGCACAGACAAGGGGACACTGCTGTTCAGTAAGAGACCTACACATCTGAATGAAAGGATATAAAACAGTATCATTCAGAAAAGTTCAGCAGCAATACAATGGCAGGACTTGGTTCCTGACAGTTACGGCTCTAACAGTGCTGACCGTGTCTAACACACATCCTCTAATCTAATAGAGCCATTATTCCAGGAAGACAAAAAGCAGAGGTACTCTTAGGAAAGGAAAGGCCTGTTCTATGCAGCGCACCCACTTCACCTGTTTTACTGGGAAAACACACTATGCCAATCACATTAGAAATCTTTTATCCTGCACAATCTCTGCTGCTCTTTGTTCGTCTGAATTGAATTCGAGATGTTATATGCTGGCCGTTGCCATTGTAAATAGAACATTAATCACTCTTCAATGAACAGCGAAAAGGACAAAAACATGACATGATTAGTAGAGGCTACTTGACTCACCCATTATTCTACTTAATGCAGCATTCCTTGTGGGCGATTCGTCAATGCCCTCAATGCCGCTGTACAAAGAGTGGGAAATTCTTCGCTCCCTGTCGTCCAGCATTGTCTCGATGGGCAATTCGGGCCCCGAGGGGCTTCCAGGTGACTCCAACTGTAGAATCGGGAGAGAAGGGATATCAGCGCTGACGGTCTATTTAACAGCATGGAGGAACAATAACAACATGCCTAAGGCCTGCACCCGGCTGGGTACCAAATGAGCTAGAACTTTTCACCCTCTACCAAAATAATTTACATTGACAGCTCTGCTTAATGGGCAACTTTCGATGCCACTTTGTAGTATACCTCCTGTGGAGCGCCTGTCATATTTCAACACCCTTAAGCAAAAAATAAATAGTACAAAGGCAATGTCTCTAATCATATTAGACCAAATTTGCCTACAAATCTGTTCTTTTAACTCTTTTCTGCACTTAGGCCGACTCTAACAATGGAAACAAAACAAAAAAAATATTTTACTGCCAAAATGTGTCTAATTGTATTCTTCAGATGGCAGCTGTTTGGTATACTTATTAGGATGTAAAACAAGAGGTGAATTTCTGAAAAATTCAGACCACAATCCAGTTCCAGAACTTAATTTTATTGCCCAAAAATGGCAATCTTTGTAAAAATACAACAGCCACAAGAATTACTTATTCATTTCTAAATATTCCTCCTCCACCAAACCCCCCACCCCCTTCCCCCTCGTGATATTGTTTGCTTTCGTGCCCACCCCAATGAAAGAGACTCAACCGCCTTTATCAACTATATGGTACTTGTTCTCTCCAGTAGAAATAAGAATACAATTTGTCATGTCTTAAATTTTAATAATTCAGTTTCCCTGTGCATAATCAGTGAAGGTTCTCATTCATCCAGGTCAATGTATAGCTAGTAGTAGTTCGTTCAATTTGACTCTTTGCTGGGACACAGTGTACCTTTATCAAAGCTGTTCCCCACTGCAACGTTGGTCAAAGAATAAGACTATTCTTTATTACTACTCCTAGGAAGACTTGCGAGTGTCCTAGATTTGCTACTATACATTGTTTTATGTGTTAGTCTGAAGA